GTCTCAGCTTCAGCGTACTCCTAAAAGCCGCTTTCTTTTATTGAACTTGACTCATGGTTGTCGATATCGGAATATAAGTAGGATTGTATCTTCAATATTTAGTTTTCCATTCAAATAGTTGTAGGAAAACAGTTTCTTTTTTGCTTTTCGTTTTTTTCTTTTCAGTTTTTGTTTCCTGTTTTCAGTTTTCATTGAAAAATTTTAAAAATGCTTTTAGTTAAAATTTATTTATTTTTTATTTTCAGTTTTAGAAAATTAGAAAACGTGTTTAGATGTTTATTTTTCTATTGAGTGGGGGAACGGCCGGGCAGTGGTAGTGTCGATGATGGTGACGGTGGTGGTGGTGGTGGTAGCGATGGCAGCGAGGTGGTCGCGATGGTGGTGGTGGTGACAATTGTGGCAGTAGTGGTGATGGCGACGGTGGTAGTGCTGGTGATGGGGTAGTGGTGGTGGTGATGGTGATGGTATGTCGGTGATTGTGATAGTGGTGTTGGGTGTGTATGTGTTTATAGGTGTGAGCTTGTGTATGTGTGTGTGCCCGTTTATAGGTGTGGGTCTGTGTGTTTGTGTGGATGTAAGTGGGTGTGAGTATGTGTGTGCGTGTGTGTGTTTGTGGGGGTTAGTGTGTGTGTGTGTGTGTGTTTGTGGGGTTTGGGTTGGGGTGTGTGTGTTCGTGGGGAGTGTGTGTAAGTAGGTACGGGTGTAGTGGGTTGGGGGTATTAAAGTGAGGGTAGGTAGAGGTGGATGGGGTGGGAGTGAGTGTTTATACTTTAGAAAAAATTTGGAATCAAAAAAATGTGGAAAACAATGATTATCTATTTTCCAAAAATTTCCAACTTCTTTGTAATTTTAAAAAACAGAAAATTTTCATTTTCCATGAAAAATTTAGAAAAATAGACGAACTAAACGCGTTTTCAAAATTCTCATTTTTATTGGGAAATTTCCGAAAAACGACTCATTTTTCCGCAACTAAACACACGTTTAGTTTTCATTCAAAATATATAAAAACTTATATACAATAATAACAACAACAAAAAGATAGGGTAAAATGATAAATATAAAAGTCGTATACAGTGATAAATTCAATTAAATATAACATTTTTATAATTGTTATGATTTTCTATAAAATAACACTACTACGGTGAAAGAATGTTCATAATAATATATGAGAAAATTCTTCAAATAATCAAAATTGAGAAGGGGAAAGAGGGGGAAGGGGGGTAAGCATTTAACCATGAAAATGTGAGTTTTGGAAAATGACCACGAGATCCACATAGAAGGCTTCCGAATCCCTTTAACCCTCTGTGGAAAGATAAATAGTAACGAGAAAATGACGTGGTATCACTAAAAGACACAAAATATTGTGGGATCCGCAAAGAAATCAACAATTCCGTAAAGGTGTTGAACGGATCCGTGGAGACGGCTCTGTGGATCTGTCGGAGATAAACAACTACCATTTCCTGAGAGAATTTAAACTTCAGCAGAGAGTTAAATGGATCCGCATAGTCACATTTGCGGAACCATGATACCCACCATATTTTTTGTCTTTTAGTGATGCCACATCATTTCCTCATTACTATTCATCTTTTTGCAGAGGGTTAAAGAGATCCGGAGAGCCCCCTCAGTGGATCTCGTGGTCATTCTTCAAAACTCATATTTTCATGGTTAAATGCTTAACAACCCCCCCCCCCCCTCTCTCAATTTTGGTTATTTGATGAATTTTCTCATAATATATACTACATATATTAAAAATAATTAGCAATGAATGTTGATTGAAGTGATTTTGATTGTTTGATTAAACATCTTGTATAAATTATGTTTATTTTTCTATCCATGTGTTTTGGATTGATTTACTGTGCTGATGTTGATACTTGTTTCTTGCTTGTTGTTGTGGCTTTCATTGGTATAAGTAACTTGATATTAATGGCTTTGTGAGGTTGAGACTTTTTGGGGTAGTTTTCTTTGTGTTATTTACAAATGATATTAGTTTGAGGGTTTTTGTGATGTTTCATTTGTACTTGGTTTTAATTATTTGTTTTGATATTGGTTTGCGTTATTTGTTTTGATATTGTTTTGCAACTTTGAACTTTTGATGGATTTTTTTTAAAGTAATATTGGTGATCATTAAAATATTAAGACTTTCGTTGCTTAAATATTTTAAATATTGTTTAAAAAAATGAGGTGAAAAATCATTGTGTTACATTTGTGTGAAAAGTCAATTTTTTTTTTTTTTTTGATAATTTTGTTGGTTAGAATTACAATATTAAGTTTTCTTTTGGTGTTGAAATGGTTTTTGAAGTGTTCTAAGGCTAAGGGGTATCGCGATGTTTTAGTAAATAGTAAAACTATGCCGCATAGACGTCACATCAGTTTTTACATTTTTAATAATTTTTACTTCTGAATTAGGGTGTGGTGATGATTTTACCTATGAACTTTTTTAATTTCAATAAAAAAAATACGAACTTTTTAAATAAAAACTATACTGAAACTAAAAATTACATTTTAGAAATCCTAAAAGAACATGAAATTAAAAATTACATTAAAAGCCTAAAAAAACATGAAGTCAAAAATTCAAAAACTTAGACGAAAAACATAAAATAGAAATTTCATTTGCCTTTTAGATTATATTTTTGTAACATCCAAAAGGGCAAAATTTTCGTTTTCAATTAAGTTATTACATGAAACCACCAGTATAAAAATGTTCATAATAATATCTCATATCAAAACCAGAGTGTCAATAATCAAAATATAGAATCATAAAACCATACCAGAGTGTAATCCCAATGATCCCGTGTGTGGAAAACATGGTGTGATGCGCTGCGATCAAGCCGTCTCCTTCCTTTTGAAAACGAGGTACCTGAAACCAAAACTAAAACCGTAAGCACATAGCTTAGTGAGTTCCCCCATCATACCACATAACAAACAACATACGTACTTCCAGACAATTTTGGGGTGCCCGACCTACCCATGTCAAGTCATTCTAGGGTGTTGACCTACCCATGTCAGGCCATTCTGGGGTGATGACCTACCCATGTCAGGCCGTTCTGGGGTACCGACTACCCTCCGGTCTATCTCAACCGGCAACGTGGACTATTTCACCATACCTCTATCATACAATAACAAAAATAATCATACGGTCAGGCATATATTGGGTACTAACCTACCCTTCGATCTTAACGACCGAGTCAGGGAAAAGCTATTCTCTGCTACTACCACTAACACACATAGCATATCCATAAGCATATCTCATAAGCATATCACATAAGCATATCTCATAAGCATATCACATAAGCATACCAAGATAATTATCACAAAGACAATTATCTACCAATAACTCCTGTTGGTGGATCGGCATTGTGGCCTTAGACCCACCCCTATTGGAAGGTAACTCACCTCTCACTGCTGAAGTCTCGTAGACACAATCCGACACTGCTGAAGTCCCGCAGACTCAACCCCAGCTGTTGGATGACAGATTACCGAACTATCAACACCAAAATAACACCAAATTAATAATTGGGTTCCACTACATAACCATCAGTACATACTTTGGATAATTACTATATTACCCCAAACTTGGCTTTACGCAAGCCCAAGGACCAATCCATAGGCCCAAAGTCAAGTAGGAAATCAAAGCCCAACACATGGCCCAATTTTCCAAATTGGGCCCAAACCTTTATAAGGTCTTACCATTAGGCCCAACCGTTTGGTCCAGTCTAATATTTAACATTCTAATGGCCCAATATCATATAATCATAAAGGCCCAAATTATGGCCTAATTTTCCAAATTGGGCCCAAACCCCTTACATGGGCCTTACCCTGGGCCCATTAAATTATTAACCCCTTAGCTTGTTCTTGGATGGCCTATTATTATCCCAATCATCAAAGCCCAATAGAGAGTCCCAATAATAAAACTAAGTGAAATTAGGGTTTCACATAAAATCACGATTAGGGTTAAGTGTTTCCCACTTAAACCATTAAGGACTTAATCCATTAAGTCTAATATTGCTTAGAATAATTTTTTACCAATGATTATTATTTAATATATCAAGTTATTAAATAATTCCCGTGTGTCCTGATTAATTCCCCATAATAGGGTTTTATTGGCATTAGGGTTTTCCAACCCAAATACTAGCCCATTTATCAATTTGTTGGGCTTTTAGGTCAATTAGGGCTTTATTGGGTCTATTAGGCCGACTAGAATATCATTAGGCCCATTAGGATTTATTAAGCCCATTTAGTCTCATTGGTCCCATTACGGTTTCTTAGTCCCTTTGTCCAACCATCCAAGCGAGTCAAAACACCTTCAAAGCACACCGCCACCCGACACGGCGGCCAGTGACAACAGGAGGCGGCAGCCACCACCTCATGGTGGTGGTTTTTAGTTTTCCTTTCATTATTCCAATTGTAATTACACTTTAAAATGCTAAAACTCAAATACACATACACACCTACTTTTTTTTAACCGACAAATAGATAGAGGGTAACCCGACGAGATAGATCAGGAATGCCTGGTGGGCCACCAAGAGGGGCACCACTCACCACCAAAGGGAATGAAGAATCGAACACACACACACACACCTACGAACACACACACCTACGAACACACACACATACACACTGTGGTGCATGGTAGCAGCCACCACCTTACGGTGGTGGTGATGGTTCTTAGTTTTTCTAGCTAAACAAACTACACACACAACACATACCACAACAAAAACAAATACCCACATGCTTTCTTGTTTGCACCACGAACCGCGAATGCTGCCACCATCTAGTGATGACAGCAACAACGGTGTTCCGACCGGCGGTGGGCGATGACGCTTCAAGGTAAGGCGGTAGACCACCCATGAGCAACAGCAGCGGAAGAGAGGCACCCGCTCGAGTCCAGTCGGTAGTCCCGTCTTCTCAGCATGGCAACAAGCTTCGTGGTTTGGAACATCCATAGCGGTGGCATGAGTCGTAGAAGGAGGTTGTTGCAGCAAGAGATGGATGATGCACCTTTACCGGAGTTCGACTCGACAGCAGCGGCGCCAAAAGGTCTTCATCGTTGTCGTGGCTAAACCGATGGTTGGCTTCGATCGGCGACACCGGTTGTCAAGGAGGCGGCCGGACATAGCAGCAAAAGGAGGAGGCGGCTGAAGGTTATGGGTAGAGAGGATAGCGACTGCATAGTTGGTTAGGGTTAGGGCAATCGGGGATGCGAGTTTATATATCCCGTCCCTATGAAACTTCCATCCATATTAACAACATCAGTCCCACTTTTCCCTATTTCTTTCAAAATAGATCCTTAATTTACCTTTTATACCCCAGCTTCGGAAATTCCCTTCAAATTTAATACCTGATTTACCAAACATCCCCTAGGCCTCCAAAATCTCTTTAATGAAGTCCCAATAATTACCATTTAGTCCCTGCCTTCCATAATACTTATAAATTAAATCTGGATTTTACACTTTTAACCTCCAACTTCTAAATTATTCACAAATTAGTCTGGGACTTACATTTATTAATTTATTTAAATAAACGGGGCATTACAACTTTTCTTGAATCGACGTCTTCACCACTTTAGCCACCTCTCGATCTTCGGGGTCGAGGTGTCTCACGTCTTGCATTAACGAATATTTTGTGAGTCAAAGGGTTTCAGCCATATGTTTCTCCAAATTTGTATTCAATCATGTCATTTGTGCCATAATTTCCATCCTATGATCTAGTAAACCTCTCTGTTCCAACCAACGAATTTGACGATTTCGCTTTTCCTTTTTCTTTTGCTTTTGATTAGGCTTTTGCTTTCCCCTTCCTATGGGAAGCGGAGGCAAGCATATTTCTTCGATGTCGTCGTTATTATCATTAAGATCAACGCCTATGTGACCATCTGATGACATTTGTTGTGATCTCGAATATGAAGATGTATGGCTTCTTTTTGGCAGATTAGCAATGTCTTCATGTGTTACATGCTCCTTCCACGTAATACCTTTTTGACAACTTCTCACACATGAATGAACTTAAAAGGCTTTAAAATGTCATCTTGGAATGACACGTGCGTTTTTCAACAAACTCGCTTCACTTTCTCCACTAACCCATTGTTTTCAAAGTAACATGTCATCTTGGAATGCCCGCATGTGTTTTTTTCAACAAACTCACTTCACGTTCTCCGCTGGCCCATTGCTTTTCAAAGTTTGTGTAAATTTCATTTCGATGTGTCATGGGTTTATTTACAAGATTCCATTTCGAGTTACATTGGTCGGAAGTCCAGTAATCTAGATCTCAACTCATACCCTTACAAAACTGCCCTGTAACACGTAACGAAAATTGATCATACGATTAACCGTTTCCTATGTTGCTATCTTTGAATATGTCAACCCATGCCTTCGATAATTTTGTCTCTTCTTTTCTACTCCATCTTCTCGAATTGACCTTCCTTTTTTTAGGTTGTTCTTCAGGCTTGAAATCGGAAAGATTTTCGATTGCGGGTGTGAAAGGTGGTTGGCATTGAAATTGGAATTGGGTTTGCGTTTGGGTTTGGGATGTTGTTCGGGATGGTGGGGATTGGAATTGGAATTGTCGTGGGATTTGGAATTGTGAATAATAGCTAGGAACACCACCTAAAAACATTTGGTTTGGAGATAAACTTGATGGATCCATTTTGGCCGATAAGGTGGTGGTGATGTCGGATCGTAACCGAAAAGTGCAAATAGGTTAGAAGCATTTTGGTTGGAAGAGTTGAGACTACTGGAAGACATTTTGATTGTGTGTGTTATTTGAGTAAGAGATGATGTAATTTTAGGTCAAAATTGTAAGAACTTTAGCAAATCACAGAAGAAATATGTCATGTGGATATGTAGCTATCATTGGAAAGTGAAGACCTTGCAATATATACGCAAAGAGGGAGAAAGATTAATGAAATTAAGGACTTACCGGCTACCATGTACGATTTGGGATTAGGGTTTATTCAATCTGAAGTTGATATGGGGTTTATGTGATTCATTTCCTATTCTAATAAAAGAATATGTTTATTCCCTTTTTATTATTTGTCCCCTATTAGGCTCCTCAATAATGTCATGCAACTTGTCAACCTATTGATTCTCCATTTCAAATTTCGAAATTTTCACTCTAATTACATTAAATTAATATATATATATATATATATATATATATATATATATATATATATATATAAGAATAAAAAAAGAAAACGGTCAAAAAGCCGTATGCTAACATTCCATTTCTTCCCAATGGTCCAATTTTTCGAATTTTGCCATCGGTGGAAGCCAATCTTCGGTATTATATTGGTGGTGAAAAAACACGTCCGACACGATGTTTACTGTCGGTGAAACTTTCATACCACCGTACAGCTTAACAAAAAAACCATCTAGTTTTTCGCAGATTGCAAAATGAGGATTCATTTTTTCGCAAATGGCATTTGAAGAAATCCATTTCTTTGTAGATGGATAGGAAAGAATTTTATAGATGTTATATGTGAAATTCTCCCATTTATATGAACCTTGGGTACTAAAATGAGTTTCGTGTGCCGCTTATCATTTTCTCAAATATCATCTATGAAAATCATGGCTACAAAAAGAGGTCAATTCTTTTCACAATATAAATATTGCAAGTTATTGAATTCAGGACAATGATAAAAGATATCATGAGGTTATTTTGCAAATTTTTGTTACATATTTTTCAGATATAAAACACAAAATACCTGAGGACACCCGCTAAACCAAGGTATCATTTATGATAACGAACATATGAGTGGTATGTTCATGAAACACCTTAGCATTAACTAGGGATGCAAAAAGGATCGGGGATTCCCCGCTACCTATGGGGACCCGACCGTCACGGAACAGTGATTCTTTGCCTTAGCCGGTAACGGATTGGGATGGGTATTACATATCTTACCCGAAACGGGTATTGTACTATCCATACCGTTTAAAACCCTATATATATATATATATATATATATATATATATATATATATATACACACACACACACACACACACACATAATATGTTTGAAAAAAAATCTAACTATTTATAAAATGAAGAAATCAAAGTTCTTAAAATTTCTCTACATAATGAGCACAATCATGAAATTTTGAAAAAAAAAAATTTATACAAAACCCAGAAAAAGAAAATTCTTCAAAAATCATAAAAATTTAAGGTAAACTTCTACTTAATATGCTAGTGACTTTGTGAAAATAGTTTTTCAAAAATAATTTTTTGAAGTATTTATTTTTAATTTTAAGTAATATTAGTTTTTTTAAATGTTGGACGTAATATGAACTAATTTGATTCAAAATATTTATGATTAAAAAAAAAACTTTTGATTCAACTTGTTTATGATCATTAACTTTGTTATGATCTAAAAATATATATAATCAAATATTTTATAATCCTTAATTATATATTGTATGATTTAAAATTAAATGATTCAAAACATATGATGATCCATAATTTTTTTTTGTAACATCCCAAAAATTCAATAAATTTAAAACTTTTCAAAACAACCCTTTTGTCTAATAGAAGTGTTACAAAAGCATTATTTCAAGACATTATTTAAAATCTGAGTCTTCCAAGATCCAGTTAGTTGTAAAACCAAGGATGTGTAGGGTCACGTATTCGCCTTGCCAAGGTCCACTGACGTACCTGAAACCATAAACCAAAACTGTAAGTACGAAGCTTAGTGAGTTCCTCCAAAATACCAACACAAGAATAAATAACATATTTAAAATAGCAACATGTATGGGGTCCGCAACAAAAAGACTAGATTGCCCCTGTAACATCTGAAATCTTGAAGAGTAATTGTTGAGAAAAAACCCTAATTCTAGGTCAACTTGATGAGTTGGAGGGAACAACTCGTCGCATTAAAGATGGATGGATCGTGAGGGTTTAATGAACCAACTCGATGAGTTAAGGAGCCCCAACTTGACAAGTTGGCAGTTAGGAAGGAAATACTAATTTCCAAGGTTTTGCACCCTATTTAAAGACCTTAAACTTCCTTGATCAGCCTCTTTATCAGCCTCCTTGACCTCCTGAAACCCTAAATCGAGTTGTGAGCCTCTTGTTAGGAATCTTGCGGTTTTAAGTGGATTTTTGTGTGTTTTTGGTGCTTGGTGAAGGTTTGGAAGAGCTTGAAGTTGTTTAGCTTGGAGGGAAGTTTTGGAATCTAGAATCTATCACACTTTTGGTAACCGTTTGAGGTAAAAAGTCTGGAACTTGGTGATTAACAGCTTAGATCTTCTCATTTGGGTTTTATTGTGATTTTGGCCTCCGTTTTGATTTTATGGATAAGATAGGTGGTGTAAAGGTTCATCCTTTCAAATCTAAGTTTGTTTTGCTACCCTTTAGCTAAAAGGTGCAAGCTTTAGGAGGATATTGATGCCATGCCATGCATTAAGTCGAGTGTTAAGTTCATTTGAAGCCTAAGAGCTTCATCTAGACATATATGTACGTAAAGTTAGAAACTTTACATGGTTTTCCAGCTCAAGGAAGTCAGATCTATGCTTTGTTGCCATGCCTTTATAGATTAGGTGCTTAATGAATTAAGTTGTTGGGCTTTGAGTGAACTCGGCGAGTTTATGGATGAACTCAACGAATTGACTCAATTTTCCTCAATATTTTTAGATGAATAGAGGAACTCGACGAGTTGGTGGGTAAACTCGGTGAGTTGACTTGGGTTTTCTCGATCTGTGCAGATTGACGGGAAAACTCGACGAGTTAAAGGACAACTCGGCGAGGTGGGTCAACCGGGACCATTGACTTTGACTTTTGGACTTATGTCTTTGACCAAGTTTGTCCCAAGGGGTGTTTGTGGTGACCTGATTTGGATTTAAGGAAAATATGGGCTTACAATAAGATTTATATGGGGTTGGGACCAATTTGGAAAATTGGGCCATTTGTGGGCCTTTGTGGATCTTTTGGTTTGTGCCTTAGTTTTGGTGCATGTTGGGTCAGGGGTAAAATGGTCATTTTACCCCAAGTATGGATTATGGATTTTGGCATGGAACCCAATTGCTAATTTGGTGTGTTGATTGGTATTGATAGCTTGAAGCCGGTAAGACAACAACTATGGATTTCTTCACTGAGTTTCTGCAGTCAAGGTGAGTTTTTCTCACTGTACTTTTGGGTCAAAGGCACCAAGGCCGACCCATTGGATTAGATATCCTATTATGTGATAGTATGTTATTGTGCAGTAATGATCTGTTAGATCGGTATTCTGGTTTATAAGTGTCACACCCCCAAACCAGAACGGCGGAAACGTTCGAGGACGGAGGACGTCATATTCAGTATCATAACAGTTCATAGAAAGGAAAGTACACACCACCATATATATTAAGTTTTTCAAAATGTTTACATAATTGTATTCATTACACGATCAAAAGATAAATACATAAACATCTTTCAAAAGAAGTAATTAACGTCAGCACGTTAATCCCCAAAAGTTGATCTCCAAACCTGCTTAGCGGTTCCCTGAGAATACAAGTTATTTCAAAGAAAAAGTGTCAACAATTAAGTTGGCGAGTTCATAAGTAGTGGTTTGAGAAAATGTACGCCATTCGAAAGTTCGTGTATGTTTTCCAGAAAACGCAGTATTTCAAATGTAAAGAGTT